AGTTATCTTCTGATATATGCATACAGGTATCTCTGTACTAGCATACATATGTATATACTGCTATAAAAGCATTGTAATAGATGCCCATTGTGCATGGCATTGACAGTAGGGGAATGAAGTCAGCCAAGGGGTCGGCCAAACGGATACCCTCTAGGCGAGCGGGCACCATTGAAAATTACAGTTTTTGCATTACAAATTTTTGTTCGGGTAAGTGTAAATAATAGTTTGCTAGAGCTATGGCGAAAATATGTGTATTCATATGCTGATTAGAATCACCAAATGAAACAAGTAAGAATGTTGTAGTCGGGCGTTACTGACTGCGAAATACTCATTCACATCCCATCAGCAATTTAGTAGCTAAGTTTAGCTCTAATACTGTAGAAAATTCAGTTTTTCCCTATTTGCCATGCCACTGGGCGTAGAGAGCTCATTTTTGGTCAGTTCTTAAAACAAGCTAACGGTACCCTAACTGCAACATTTGAATGCTTACGCTCAAAATTTGTGAAAATTACAGGATATTTTTCGATATGCCACGCCCCTAAAGAGGCGTAAAAATTATTTTTGGGGCATCGATAAAGGAGGTAGTAACTTAACTATCCAAGTTTGAAACTTCTAGCTATTATACTTTAGGAGATAAAAACTTTTGCGGTTTGCCACGCCCCCTGTGGGTGGACATATATCCGTCGAAGCTTTTTGGTCTTGGGTGGTTAGCCCGAGTATATAAGTTAAGACTTTCGACAATCTAAGGAGCCTGGAGAGTCCAGTCAGACATTCAAGGGGAGAACCTAACCACTAGAACAGATTTAGTTCAGTTGATATTCGGACTAGAGAGAGTTTAGACCTATTGTTCCAAATTATATAAAATATATTATTTCTTTGAACACCAAGTTGTTATATATTCACAAGAACCCAACACAGCGTCCCCAATCACTAGTACTCTAGTGTGAGAGCGCTTAACTTATATACCAAATTTGAGGTCTTTAGCATTAATAGTAGCCAAAATATAGCAGAATTTAAAAAATCACTATATCTTTAGGTCCGAACATTAGCCTTTATAGAATCATAGCATTAGCTCACTTGCAAAATTGCAAAAGTGCAGCAGTCTAGCTGTAAAACTCTTGGAGATACAGTTTCATCCAATATACCTACCCCCAATGGGCGTAGATATATCCGCCATAGCTCGTGAGCTTGCGTGGTCGACGCAAATCTACATTCTAAATTTAAGCTTTCTAGCTCTTGAACTAATATGATTTCTGGCATATCGGAAAAAGCATTTCCCGATTTACTACGCCCCTAGTTGGCGGATCAGGAAAATGTTAACACTTTATCGGAGATATACACGAGTATGTGTTCAAAATTTCAAGTCTCTAGCTTTAATAGCACCGAAATAAACTGCGTTCATACGGACAGACGGACGGACAGCAAGACGGACATTGCACAAAACCAATATACTAATTCACTTTCGTGAATAAGTATAAACATATAGCCCAATAGAGCCGAATCCTTCGAGGAACTGATATTTCAATCATTTTTCGTGTCTTTCTGCTTACATAAGAAACACACGCAAAAACACACTCATAGACTCACATAGACACGCACGCTGCACGCTACTATGGGAACTTAACTGCTTAATAACTTTTCTTGTAGATGGACTTTCTTCATGAAACTTTTAGATCGTGATTATATTACTAAAATGTGTGAATTTTCTAAAGCACAAAGTATATGAAATACGCCTTTTAAAAAGGGAAGGGCGAGGGGTAAATTATAACAAATAATTAGCAAAACACAACATCCATTAGAATTTAATTAAAATCATATACATATTTATGTATGGTATTATTCCATTGAAATGGGAAATCAGGATATAATGGTTTTATTAAAAGTATGTAACAGACAGGAGGAGGCGTGGCAGGACCCCATTAAGTATATATATTCTTGATCACTGTGACGAGCTGAGTCGATTTAGCTCTGTCCGTCCGTCCATCTGTCCGTCTGTCTGTATGTTTGAACGCGTCGATCTCAGAAGATATAAGAGTTAGAGACTTCAATTTTTTTTAAATGCTCGTAAATATATTGCGGATATCAAGTTTATCAAAAAAAATCGATAGCTCATACCGTTATTTTTTTATCGATAAAAAACCTTATCAAAAATCAGTTATAAAATTATATCTCCTACATCTTTGAAGCTAGAGTCTCCAAATTTGATATGTATACTTATATGCATTTTATACAATTTCGGTTTTGGTTAAAATTTACCCCCCACCCCTATATTCACCCCATCACCCTCATGTTTGTAAAAAGCGTGTTTCAAATACTAGAGACTTGTGCTTTGGCAAATAAATGCATATCCCTGTTATAATCATAATCTGAAAGTTTCATGAAAAAAGTACATCCAAAAGAAAAGTCATTAAGCAATTAGGTTGCCATAGTAAGCCACCACTGCAGCCAATTCGTGTTTATGCGTGCGTGCGTATGGCTCTGTGTGTGTGCATGTGCGAATAATTATTGAAATATCAGTTGCTCGCTCGAAAGGATCAGGGGATCTCGTAGTCGTGTACACTCGACTAGAACTTTCTTATTTGTTGAACTTGAGACTATTTTTAGCAATTATATGTCTGTCTGAAGACAGAGAGTATAAGCAGGAGAGGAAGGAATAAGGATCGTATCATCATATCGTATCATCGTATCTCATCATATCACAGGTTTTCCAGTTATATACTTATGCATATATGTATATTCCTGATCAGTGCGACAACCTGAATCGATGCAGCCATTTCACTTACAATGGGCATTGCATGATTGGAGCTCGTGGAAGCAGTTACAGTAGAGTCCCGATAATTGGAAATGGCAAGGGAACGAGGTTTTTCTTTAATATTACACAGTAACTCAAAATATCGAGAATAATCGGGAACGAATAGTTTTCCATTTATCGTGATTTTCAATTTTATGGGGTACAAATTATCGAGACTAGACTGTATATGTAGGGGATGCGCAATATGGCTATATTAGTTTTTATATAGGTTCTGGAACTGTGCGGAAAATGCGAGTTAGCTCGTGTTAATTAAAAAATATGTAACTATTGGTGAAATCCATCCAAATTTAAATACATAAAAACAGAATCTTTCATGCTTGTACATATGTACATATTTCTAATTAGAATTTGAATACTATTAAACCTTATCAGCACATCAGCATACATACATACATATTTCTAAGAAAAAGTTCGAATATGTTCAAACCTTATCAGCACAATACGCATTCGCGTAGGTATATGCATATACCTATGTATGTACAGTAGAATCCGGTTATAACGATGCTCAAGGTACAGTCGTTGTAACCGGAAGACGCTATAACCATATAAGTTTGCTCATATAAATTCGTTTGAGTACCAAAATTGTTATCGCAATAACCGTTCGGACGCGATAAGCGGATTCGCTATGACCGGATTCTACTATATGTACATATATATTTGCATTCGCTTAAGTATATGTATGTTTATTGGAAGAGAGAAAATCTTATCTGTTAATTGCTGTGCATCTAGAGCATCTAGGAGGTACACAAATTGTTCTAATGTTTAATTTAGTTGGAGGGAATAGATACATACATATAATGCCTGACCGTAGGGCAGTGAGCAGCTGCATCACTGTTCGCTACTACATAGCATAAAGAAAAAAATAAAAAAAATAAAAAAAATAAATAAAAACAAGTAAGAACGTTGCAGTCGGGCGTTACCGACTGCGGAATACTCATTCACATCCCATCAACAATTTAGTAGTTAAGTTTCGTTCTAATACTGTAGAATATACAAGTTTTTCCGATTTGCCACGCCCCAACTGGGCGTAGACACCTCATTTTTGGTCAGTTTTTAGAAAGAGATAACGGTACCCTAACTGCAAAGTTTGAATGCTTACCCTAAAAAAATGTGAAAATTAAGGGTATTTTTCGATATGCCACGCCCCTAAAGAGGCGTAAAAATTATTTTTGGGGAATCGATAGAGGAGGCTACCAGTAACTCAACTATCCAAATTTGAAGCTTCTAGCTATTATACTTTAGGAGATATAAACTTTTGCGGTTTGCCACGCCCCCTGTGAGCGGACATATATCCGACAAAACTTTTTGGTCTTGGGTGATCAGTCCGAGTATATATACAACATTGAGGTCTCTGCCATCAATAGTGTCCAAAATATAGGAGAATTTAAAAAATCACTATATCTTCAGGTCCGATTTGCCACGCCCCCAACGGGCGTAGACTTATAATTTATCTTCAGACTTTATAGAATCATACCATTAGCTGACGTGCAAAATTTCAGCATTCTAGGTTTACAACTTTAGGAGATACAGTTTTATCCGATTTGCCACGCCCCCAATGGGCGTAGATATATCCGTCATAGCTCGTGATCTTGGGTGGTCAACGCGGACCTACATACCAAGTTTCAGCTTTCTAGCTCTTCAACAAACATGATTTCTGGTATATCGGAAAATGCATTTTCCGATTTGCCACGCCCCTAGTGGGCGGATCGGGAAAATTTTAACACTTTATAAATCGGAGATATACACGAGTATGTGTTCCAAATTTCAAATTTCTCTAGCTTCAATAGCGCCGAAATAGATTGCGTTCATACGGACAGACGGACAGACGGACAGACGGACGGACGGACAGACGGACAGACGGACAGACGGACGGACAGCAAGACGGACATTGCACAAAACCAATATACTGATTCACTTTCGTGAATGAGTATAACAATCAAACAATACTGAACAGCTGCTTGCTTGGCATTGAAATCGTCACTGAGCGGCATAGTAGGTTAAAACGTACGAAAAAGAGAGAACGAGAATTGTGGGCCGAATAGAGGGGAGGAGGATTGTTAGGGCAGGCTGTCTCAATGCGGCATTCGTGTTTCCAGCGCACGAGGACAGCACGAAACGCGGTTGGCCGAACACAGGCGCCGAAGACGATGCCGACCGGTTTTTGGGGCCGCCAGTCAGTGGCGTTGTCTAGCTCTTCAGTGCGAAGCGAAGCATCGAAAGTGATAGGTGTACAGCGGAATTTATACTCGTTTTTGGCTCGTTTATTTGACGCACATTTTGACGTACGTTCCAAACTGCGGTGATTTCTAAAACGGCTAAGAAATAAATAAAAAAAAATAATAATAAAAAAAAAAAAAAAAAAAAACAATAAAGACGAATCAAGGAAGAAGAAAAAAAAAAAACAAAATAGAAAAATTCATTTCACTTGATTCGCGCTGGGATTTGTTTTGTTTAATCAAAGTTCTTTGGTGCATTTTTTTTCTATATATTTTTTTTTTAAATTGTGTGACACTATATCATTTTCCATCTAAAGTGCTAAATAGTTCCGTAAATAGGAAAATACAAATATACATATAATACGAAATATATATTATTACGGTTGCTGCTGGTGTTGTTGTTGTGTGCGCTTAGTCTCGATAAATGCTTATATTTACATATTGCTTTTTTTTGTCCCCATTTGATTTGACTTTGAACTTGAGTGTGTGTTAAATAAAGACAGTGATACAAGAAAAACACAGGTGCGCAGCTTCTGATCAGCATTGATATTAATAAATTGATTGTTATAGGGGATTTTTATATGTATATAAATTTTGTTTAGTATTGTTTTTATTATTTTTTTTTTGTTTGTTTGTGCACAAGTTAATTAGAAATTCCCAAATTTCAATTTGTTGTTTTCATTGACTGGTTTCAAATTGCAAAAAAAAAGAGAAGAAACAAAAGATCTGAAACAAGCGAAATAATTGACAAAAAGTTTTCATTTATACAAGTGTCGAAACAACTGCGAGCTTTGCTGACGCATGCAAAAATCGCTTTGCCCGATCTGTAGTTTTTGTTTTATAGCATATACGCACATATATATATAAACATATGTATATGTATGCATATACGTATATATGGAAAATAATTTGTTGTGGACCGTGCGCTGATAACCTTCTGAGATCATTGTGTGATCAGCTTGGGCAAATTAAATAAAAATATGTTCAAAATTTGCTAAGAGAACAAAACTTGATTTCGGGTTTTTCTTGAGCGAAAAAATATTTACGCGGACATTAATTAACAAAGCCATGCTAAGAGGGAACTCGATTTGTTTCTTATTGTTAAATTTAGGCATAATATCATCAGCAAATGAAACATTTTAGTTTTTTTCCCAACGCATTTTCTTTTTATTATAATTTTTTTTTTCATATTTTTTATTATACCTGGCAGTATTTCACTAGCCTCAGTTCCCTACTGTGATGCCAGAAACAGTGCTTAGCTCCGCTTAAGTACCAGAAATTAGCACAAAGCTCAGCCAAGATTAGATTGCCGGTTCGCTCTTGCTCTCTATATGCTTGTCTATTTCCCGTTCTCGTCTCCCTTTGGCACTTTTCGTTTTTGCTTGCGATCAATGATGATAAACTGTTTATTGCTGTTGTGTCACTTCGCTCTCGAAACGGTAATTTGAACCGATTGCTTTGCTTGCGAGTCGAGTGGAGAAGCGTCTCGTTCGACGAGCTTCAAACATTAAATAACAATAATAAACAGCAGTAAGTTGAAGGTGTTCGTTCCCCAAGTGTCTGTGCTTTGTCAAGCCACATACAATATAATATACAATAGAAACTATATAGACGCAATAATAGCGCCAGCAACAACAAACAGCTTATAACAACAACAACAACAATCACAACAGCAACATGGACAACAACAACAGTAAAGAGCACATCGAAATTGTTGGCTCCAAAACACGCAATAGTCCGTCGGCCCAGTCGCTGTCTATATCGCGTGTTTCCCTCTGTCGTCGACCCCTATCCTACTCTACCCTATCCTACTCTACACACAGTGGCCACCAGTTCCGGCAAGATCCAGTTCCAGTTCCAGTTCCAGTTTATAGCCACAGCAGGACTCAACAGTGCGCGCCGTGCGGTCGACTTTGCCTCAATACACATACTTACTTCTAGCTATAGCAACATATTGCACATACATATACTTAATTTCTTGTTTTTATATATATATAAGTATATACATGTATATAAATATATATATTTGTATTTTTTTTTTTTTTTTTTTGTTATATTTGTATGTATATGTGTTTTGCACCACTGTTCCCGCTGCCCTCTCGTGCCGTGCCTGTGCCCGTACTCACACCCGTACTCGTACCCGTCTCCGCTCTACTGCTGCTTGCAACCGGAGAGTAGGTCAGGTCAGTGTGTATTACTTTTACTTTATAAGTTATTTAGCTAGACCGCGACGGAATTAGTCGTATTATTATATTATATGAACCATAACTCATCATCAGGTCGACATGGGCAACATTTGTTTCATTCATTTACAGGGCTCAATTATCCTCCCGTCATTTCAGTTCACATTGTAGTGAGCGGAGGGTAATATGTCTATCATGTCTATGCATTGGACACTTGTCGTACCTATAAAGTCTATGTTTGGAGCTGCTTCAATTCAAAGTTACTTCTGCATTTTGGTCCCATTTTATTATGTGGGGCAATCATGCTATTTCCTATGAGCTTTCTGCAAATTGTAATATAGCTTCGAGATATTGTTGAAATTCCTTTTTTTCTAAATCTTGATATTTTTAGAAAAATTAAAAGAATCAAAATGTTACAAATCAAAAACCATGAAAATTGGTCCAGCAGATCATGAGTTATAAGTGTTTGAACAAACCCGACCTTGTTTTATATGTATATGGACATTTCTCCAGAAAGGTCAACCGCAGCCAAAACATTCAAAGTCAATGAAAGCATGTTCTGGGTATAATGGTTTTGTTAAATGTATGTAACAGGCAGAAGGAGGCGTGGCAGACCCCATAAAATATTTATATTCTTCATCAGGGCGACGAGCTGAGTCGATTTAGCTCTGTCCGTCTGTCCGTCCATCCGTCTGTCCGTATGTTTGAACGCGTCGATCTCAGAAGATATAAGAGTTAGAGACTTAAAATTTTTTTCCGTGTATAGCACGCGCATATCGAGTTTTGCTTTAAATATCGATAACTTGACGCGATATTTTGTTATCGATTAAAAACGTTATCGAAAACCAGTAACACATTTATATCTCCTACATCTTAAAAGCTAGATTCCTCAAATTTGATATGTATACTTAAATGCATTTTATACAATTTCAGATTTTGTCAAAATTTACCCCCATCTCTAATTCATCCCATCACCCTCACATTTGTAAAAGGCGTATTTCAAATACTAGGGATTTTGGCAAATACATGCATATCTATATTATTCATAGTCTGAAAGTTTAATGAAGATAGTCCATTCACTAGAAAAGTTATTAAACAATTAAGTTCCCATAGTAAGCCCACACTGCAGCCAATGCGTGTTTATGCGTGCGTACGTATATCTGTGTGTGTGCGTGTATGTGTACATATGCGAATAATTATTGAAATATCAGTTGCTCGAAGGATTCTGGAGATTTCGTAGTCGAGCAGTCTCGACTAGAGCTTTCTTGTTTATAACTAATCTTCAAATTTAACTAATATAAACCAATTTTACATTTTATCATAATACATCTCGAAATATTGAGACACAAAGCCGAATAAGTGCAAAAGTTCTGTTTTGAGCATTTCTATTGCACATTTTGTTCTTATTATTGAGACACTATGCAATGAAATATGATACTTCGAATTTTCTCTATTTTATTATAATTAATAAATTGAATCATTTCTAATGCTTTTATTCATGTAAAGTTACTAAAAAATAAAGAAAAAGTGTGGTGGAAAAAATGTCTCATTCGACACGTCACCTTCGACCTTGATTAATAATAAAAAATAATAAAAAATACCCAATATTTTTTAATCAAATAAAAAACATTGTAAATATGTGCCAATTTCTAATAATTTAAAATTATTTGTAATAAATTGTCACTTAAGGTTTCGCTAAAATCTCAGGTTGAACTGTTAATTTAAAAAGCGACTCACGTAGCCTGCGAACCTCTTGGTTTTCTGTGACTATCTTGAAAACTAATTTAGCACCAATTATAGAGCCAATCAAGAGCTAAGAGATCCACTATGCGTCAACATAAAAAATGTTTTGGCATTCGTTTTTTTTTTAACTCAAAAACGAACGAATGTTACATTCGCCATTAGAGAATTGCCCATATATAGATAGATTATTATTTTCTTAAAAATTATTTATCTATTTTATATTTTCAAGTAGAATGTAAATAAACAACAACTTAAATAGGTCTTCTGCTAGGACAATAATGCATTCAGATAACTAACATTTCTTTTGTCGATTGAATATTTTAATTTCAATACTTAGCCAAACAAACAGCTTTCTCTTTCGTCAAAGTTGACGTCTCGAATTCAAATCGTAGTCTAAAACAATCCATAACGCCAGCAAACCTAAAAGTGCTTTCGTTTTTATACTCTGAACCCAACATAAATCAGGGTACTATTGTTTTTTTTTTGGGCTCAAATTTTTTGAAAATACTAAATAACATACGTCTAATATTCAAAATCAATTTTTATGAATCCTTGATTCGTGAATTGAAAGGGAATGCGAGAGAAGGGAAGATTGCTCAGTTTTGCTGGTCCGTTAAAATTATAGACGTAAACATTGATTATTGATAAATTCGTAATCTTGAGGAAACCTTGGTTTTTATATATGGTTAGAGGTTTATTTAGCTTATACTTTACTTCAATTAACTAAGCTTTATTTCAGTTTCGAATAACTAGAAATGACCGTATAAGAATATATTTTTGCTTATTTCTGATATTATTAACTAATAATTCATTTAGTAGTAACACATTTTTTATTGGGCTGATCATTATATTACTGTCAGCTGTCATGCAAATGGACGATCAATAATCCATCTCTAACAGTTCCATTCGCTGGATGGAACTATGTAATTTATACGCCATTAAGATGCTTATATAAGTAGAGCAGGAGGAGAATGATGAGCTGGGGGAGCGGGTTGTTGTTTGCCAATCACGCCCACGCAAATAATTTGCAAGTTGCTTGGCAAAAAGTTGATCTTGTTTATGGGTTTTTCCAAAGGATGACGGCTAAGCAGAGGGAGGGGGGCATACAGCTGGGGTCGGTACAAAGCGCAAAAACTATTC